ATCATAACTCTAGGACAAAGTTTAAATTAAAATAAAGACATACAGACACATAAATTAGCAAAAAAGTTGAAGTAGTTTCTTTTGTTGTAATCCCCTTCGTGGTGATACAACCGAGCGCAGTGGCTCACGCCTGTAATCCCAGCATTTTGGGAGGCCAAAGCAGGTGGATCACTTGAGGCCAGGAGTTCGAGACCAGCCTGGCCAACATGGTAAAAACCCATCTCTACTAAAAATAAAAAAGTTAGTTGGGTGTGTTGGTGCATGCCTGTAATCCCAGCTACGTGGGAGGCTGAGGTAAGAGAATTCCTTGAACCTGGGAAGGAGAGATTGCAGTGAGCCAAGATAGTGCCACTACACTCCAGTCTGGCCGACAGAGTGAGATACTGTCTCAAAAAAAAAAAAATTTAGTATAGTTATCACAATCTAAGCCAGGCGTGGTGGCTCGCCCCTGTAATCCCAGCACTTTGGGAGGCTCAGGTGGGTGGATCACCTGAGATCAGGAGTTCGAGACCAGCCTGACCAATATGGTGAAACCCCATCTTAAAAAAAAAAAATTGAAAAACAGTTATCATAATCCAGATAGAGAAAGTTATATAGTATTAGAGGATGTCAAAGTTCTTGAAGCATTGTTAACATTTGCTCTTTAAAACAGAGATTTTTAAATTGTCTTTATATCAAATGAAACTTAAGAGACAAATGTTATTAAGTGTTCATGTTCATCAGCTGTATTTATAGCTCACTATAAGCCTGCTCATTAACATTTTTAAGGACTGGATTTAAGTATACCATTTACACAGAGCTTGGTTCTTCTGCCATTTGTTTCTCTAAACTGAACTTAGAGCGAACCCATCCATTTTCCACCTCAAGGTGGAACAGGAAGATAAGGCAGATCTGAGGTCTCCTCCATGTGGAGCTGGAAACTCTTCTCTCTAAAACACACTAAAAGCTGAAAGCTATTTTCTTCAGTGTGAGGAAAGTTAGGTAACCTACGTTTTCATTATAATGGGGTAGGGCTTTTTTGCTTACATTTGGGAAGAGCTGCTCTGGAAAGTGTCGGTAATTAAAAACTTTTATCAGCATATTTTTGTTCCCTGTAAACTTTGTCTATCAAAGAAAATTAAGAACATGAAGTTACATTTTTAAAAAATCTTAATTTGTGCCAAAAACTTACATTAATTTTCTTTTTTTGAGACAAGAGTCTCACTGTGTTGCCCAGGTCTGAGTGCAATGACGTGATCTCAGCTCAGTGAAACCTCTGCCTCCCTAGTTCAAGTGATTCTTGTGCCTCAGCCACCTGAGTAGCTGGGATTATAGGCATGTACCACCATGCATTTTTAGTAGAGATAGGGTTTCACCATGTTGGTCAGGCTGGACTCAAACTCTTGGCCTCAAGGGATCCACCTACCTTGGCCTCTCAAAGTGCTGGGATTACAGGTGTGAGCCACCGTGCCCGGCTATATTAATTTTTTGGTTCAATAATAAAAGTTAAAACAATGCCTTCTGTTATTTACTGCAAATTTTTTAAAAAGGTAATTTAGCAACTGATCTAATTTACCTGTCTATCAAGAAAACAAAAACAATCCTAGACACCAAACTCATTGTTGTTTTTTTTTTAGATGGAGTCTCACTTTGTTCCCAGGCTGGAGTGCAGTGAGGCAATCTCAGCTCACTGCAACCTCTGCCTACTGGGTTCAAGCAATTCTCCTGCCTCAGCCTCCCAAGTAGCTGGGAGTACAGGTGCAAGCCACCACACCTGGCTAATATTTCTATTTTTAGTAGAGACAGGGTTTCATCACGTTGGCCAGGATGGTCTTGATCCCTTGACCTCATGGTCTGCCCGCCTCAGCCTCCCAAAGTGCTGGGATTACAGGCGTGAGCCACCGCCCCTGGCTCCAAATTCACTGTTTCAAAAGTAATCCAAAGATGTAGAAAATGGTCTATCCTGGGCCACTGAAACATAGTTATATCATTGTGATCCTGAACCATTTTCTGCATGGCTCACAAGACAAGAAAAAGTTATTATAGCTACATGTAGCTTGGAAACATCTTGATATTCTAGAATAAACACATCAATTCACACTACAAATTACTTAGTACTTTACAAACTTTATTAAATAATGGGCATTACTAATTTCATTATCTTATATACAGTATTTAAACTATGTTTTCCTAGATGCATTTTTCCCCCCACAAAGAATAGAGCAGGTGAAAAGTAAACTTATATATAAAAAAAAAATTGAACTTTCAGTACAGGAAACTAATAAGAACTTGACATACTTTAAAGTACATATAACATTTCCCCATTATATACATCCCCACCCCACCTCTAAAAGAAACTATTTCAGACAAAAGCAATTGATAACTTTGAGGAAAAAAGTACAAACATGATTATATATATATATATACACACAACTCTCAAAATCTGGGTCCTGGCCAACAGAAATTATCTATAAAACTACAGATTTGTCCTAAAACCTAAAGCCATGTAGATATTTTATACAGTAAGATACCCACTTACATGCAGTGAGGTGTATTCATATAGGTGACATCAATGTCATGCAATAAGACACTGGCGTGAAGAAATTTCTGAGTCAGACAGAACAATAATAGGAACTATATAGAATTGGATAATACCAACCAAAAAGCAAAAATGCGAAACAGCTTTCCTGGGACAAGAGTCAGGTAATTTTGTTCATAGGTAATACAAATGCACTTCCACACACCTCTAAGAACATGCTTTCTTGGCCAGGCACAATGGCTCATGCCTGTAATCCCAACACTTTGGGAGGCTGAGGCGGGTGGATCACCTGAGGTCAGAGTTCGAGACCAGCTTGGAAACATGGTGAAACTCTCTACTACCAACACGAAAATTAGCCAGGTGTAGTGACTGGCAGTAATCCCAGCTACTCAGGAGGCTGAGGCAGGAGAATCGCTGAAATTTGGGAGGTGGAGGTTGCAGTGAGCCAAGATCACACCACTGCAACAGGGTGAGACTCGGTCTCAAAACACAAAACAAACTTTCTTGTGGTACTTTTTAAAAAAATTGTTTCATCTTGAAAACTCATATTATGTTTATTTTTATTTATTTATTTTTTCTATTCCAGATGTGGCTTCATTGATCATCTTATGTTTAAGTAAAGACAATAAAAGAAGGAATATTTCCAGACCATGCTATTCAATGTGGACTTTGTTTCATAAGGTTTTTTTTTTTTTTTTTCTAAGATGGGATTTCACCATGATGGCCAGGCTGGTCTTGAACTCCTGACCTCAGGTGACCCACCCACCTCGGCCTCCCAAAGTGCTAGGATTACAGGCGTGAGCCACTGCGCCCGGCTTGTTTCATAAGCTTTAAGAATACTTTGGAGAAGCAAGAAACTTGGGTTATTTTTTGTTATTTAAAAAGAAAATCAAATGCCTTAGGTACCTATTTGTAAGATAAAAATGCTCATATATTTTGTCTGACAGTTAAGAAAAAGAGGCATAGGCCTTACAAAGAGGAAAACAATTATGTCACTTACTCAATATTACTACTTACCTTTAAATGAAAAGCCCAGGCCCCTTTCCCTACATATATTATTGTATCTTTTTTTTTTAAAGACAGGGTTTTACCATAGTGGTCAGGCTGGTCTTGAACTCCCAACCTCAGGTGATCTGCCCACCTTGGCCTCCAAAGTGCTTGGATTACAGGTGTGAGCCACTACGCCTGGCCATATTATTGTATCTTTTAAAATAGAAACTAAGAGTGTGGGGGAAAGGCCATAGAATGTACACCTGATTAAAATGAAAATACTAAGACCACCCCTTGAGAAAACATTCTTGCTGCATTAACTGCAGTCTTCAATAATATAGAATATTTTTATAAAGTCACAATAAATCTGCCTTCATTTTTCTCTTTAGCTTGACTTTTTTATTCACAATGCCTTATTTTTATTTGTCTGTCGCCTTTCATAAGGAGTTAGATTAGTATACAGTGCCACAACAAAATGTGACAAATGGTCACAACATAAAAGGTGTTATTAGCGCCTACTAACCAAGCATTTCATTCTTTTATATACCTGAAAACAATGAAAAAAGGCTCCCATGTTATGTGGGGTTTAGGAAATAGATTCTTGCCCATTCCTGCAGCCAGTGACTCCTCAGGGCCAGGATCAAGGAGGTCATTTGGCAGAATCCCAAACTCATGACATGCATGTGAAAAACTGCTCTGGAATGGGTAAGTTTAAAGGGCTTTGTCTTATTTTAGCTCATGCTTAACTTTGTATTGATTAGAAACAGGCACACAAAATGATCTGGCAGGATTTCAGTTTTTCTCTTTGAACTGTCATTTGAAGAGTTAACCAAGTGGTTCCAGGAAGTCATCCCATCTCTTCTAACAGCTAAGTCAATTTGCATTTTATTAGCCTTGGTTTTCTCTAAGCCATTAAGGAAATCATTCATTTCACCCCAGAAATTATATTATAAACATGATGAGTAGCTCATTCTCTAGGCCTTGTCTGGGAATACAGGTTAGAGGTTTTGCATACAGAAAATGGGTCCTGCTATGTTTTAATTTTATTTATTTATTTACTTATTTATTTATTTTTTATTTTTATTTTTTCTTTATATGTTTTAATTTTCAAGAGTCACACAATTTCTGCATCAAAATGAAATAATAAAAGAATATAAAAATAAAATTAAAAAAAAAAAAGAATACTAGCATAGAAACCCTAAAATGGGCACCTCAGGCTACACTCCAATTACAAATCTCTGGCTTAAGTTTTCCTAAGGTCTTGCCACAAATTTAACCAAAATGTGAGATATAAGCATAGTTCTTTAAACAGCTTTCATTGCCTTTTAAAACACGAAAAAGTCTCCTTGCTGCCTTTGAGTCATAGGATAAAACTACCCTGGCCTTCTGGATAATAGGAAAGGATTATTGGATCATTGCTTTTTTTTTTTTTTTTTTTTTTTTTTTCTTTCTTTTTTCGAGACGGGGTTTCACCGTGTTGCCCAGGCTGGTCTCGAACTCCTGAGCTCAGGCAATCCGCCCGCCTCGGCCTCCCAAAGTGCTGGGATTACAGGCGTGAGCCACTGCGCCCGGCTACCGCATTTCTTAAGGTGTGGGCACTATTGTCAGGATATGGAAAAAAATATGGCTATGATGTTAAAAGTCTAAAAAATGTTCAAGTAAGATCGACTTACATGAAACATGAAGACACGCAGCATCAGAAAACACCTTGTTGATGCCAACACGTGCTACAGTACAATCCTGGCTGCATCGTCAGGCATTTCAAAACATTGTGCTGTAAAACAAAGTATATTTTACACCTCTGTTCTTAATCTGGTACACATAAAACACCTCATCAGTATCTGTAACATTTTATGAGCAAAAGAAGAAAATTCAGGCAGTTATCATGACCTTAACCAAAACTGCTCGAACTGAGACACTGAAATTTTTCCCTTAGAGACTGGACAATATTTTGTTGATTGGGAGATGGCCCCCTCCAAAGATAGTCATTCAGTTTGTCAGAATCATTGTATGGTGTCAGAAATGGCGAAAGCCCAAGTTTGCTGTTAACCTGCTTTTTGGGAGTGCATGGACTATTCAAAGAATGAGATGTGTTGCCGCTGGAGGCATTATCAGAAAAGTCTGCATCCACGAACTTTGAGTCAGATTTCCTTCTACGATTGTGAGCGAGCTCCAACTCCGACTCATCTTCTTCTGACTTGATTTCCACATAGTCATCTTCGTCTCCATCCGTCTCTTTGAAATTGGAAAAATAGTTCTGTGTTGCTATTTGGGCATTTAAGGGTACATTTCTATTGACCACCAAAACTTTCTGTGAGTCTTGGAGTGTGAGATTTGAGAGTTTTTCAGGGCCCTGTTGATGTGAGTCAGCAATATCCGTCAGCAAGTCCTGGTGACTCTCACACCGTGAACTTCTGTGTAAAGACAGCAGCTGCTGCTTTCCCACTTCACTAGGGTAGTTGATGGAGTCCATTGATTTGTTTATCAAGACGGAGGAAGATGACTGGGACCTGTGATAAGGCTGAGATTTAGCGCTGATCCCTTTCCGATCCAAGGAGTTGTACAGATGGCCCTGACACACGTTCTCTTTGTGGGGCTGACTTACTACCACACTGCATCTCTGCATGGAGTCCAGCAGAGGGTCAGAGGTTTGAAGAGAAGGCACGGAGCAAGCTGCGGACAACTGCCTGGGAGTACTTTTTGTATTGATCTCAAACGTGGGATATCTTGATCTCAAGTCTTGCTCTGGTGGGGGACAGAAATCTGCCAGCTCTCCATTACTATAGGTTGAGTGCAGAAGCCAATCTTCACTGCCATGGTGGACCTGGGAAGGTGACGCAGCCCTCAGGAGGGAGGATGCTTTGGAGTTGGCCCAGCCATCCTTCTGAATTTTCAAGGGAGACTCTCTGAATACAATCTGGTCATACAGCTGAGAATACTCAGCAATCCTAGCACCTGGAAGGCAAATATTGAAACAGTAAATACACACAGGATAATTCCTATGTGTGAAGATTAAAAATAAGAGTATAACATTCTGCTCAACATATTTTAAAATTTTAACAGTAGACAAGACTAAGTGATGTTTAAGGATGAGTAATCACTGAAGTCTAAGCAACACAAACTAGTAAAAAAAAAAAATCCATGGTTTAATATAAATAAAAATGCCACCTAAAAGTTCATTTAATTTAATCTAATTCTGCATTATTTTGTTTCAATAGCAGGTCTGCAAGTGTCCACTACGAATAATGCAAGTTTCTAGTGTTCTTTATAAGCATGAAACAGTGTCAGTGCTGAAAACATACATCATAAAAATAGGCAAGTCAGCACTTCAGGCTGGTCAATGAAAAATCATTCAAGCAGTCTTTAAAAACAACATAGAAGGACTCGGTTTGGTGACTCATGCCTGTAATCCCAGCACT